AACATAAGACATTTCTTTAAAAAATGTCTAGAACCTATAAAATGCATGTCAGGAGGGCATGCTCGTATTTGAATATATCTATCTATACAAAGTTTATAAGAGCATCTTTGAAATTTTTGAGTGGATTGAGAAAGTCACTCGAAAAGAGAGCATAACTTTGTAACCAGAGAGCTGAAAAGAGCTACTACAAGCTTTGAGATTTCAGATCTATCTTTTCATTTTGCTTCCGTGCCTTGTTTGTTTCCGACCATGTCCCATGAGGATCCGTTCCGATTCCTACCCTTTGTCCACGCCCATGCTCTGGTGCCTTGGAATGACCCTTGCGAGAAGAGGCCTCTGAATATATCCAACACCCATTTCACTCCATCCACACTCTTCAGCTTCAACATGATTTACGTGCTCGGAAGCATACATGCAATTTACATTGCGCCAATTGCCCACCACCAAAGGTTATTAATGTACCCGAGATACATCCTCACAAGCTTACCCATCTCAGGGGGCGAATCGAGTTCAGTTGTGCTGCTATGTGTGGGAGGATTGGTGATGAGTCTCCTTACAAATGTCATGAATGTAATATTGCCTACCATGTTGATTGCGTATGGAATCTGTGGAAGGTAAAACAACCGTCGGAGGTAAACCACCCTTACCACTCTTTACACCCTCTTAAGCTCTTTAAGGGTCAACCACCAGATTATTCTGATGGAAAATGTCGTCTTTGTGGAAGTCAGATTGATGATGGATTGTTCTATCATTGTTCTTCTTGTAACTTCAGTTTGGATATGCGTTGTGTTTTATACCCACCACCACAATCTCTTGTGGATTTGAAAGCTCATGATCACCAACTCACCCTTCTCCCAAGACTCGATTCTTTTACATGTAATGCTTGCAGCCTCAAGGGAGATCGAAGCCCTTACGTATGTTTTCAATGTGGTTTCATCATTCATCAAGACTGTCTTACTCTTCCACGCATCATAAACATCAATCGGCATGATCATCGTGTTTCTCGCACTTCTGTTCTTGGTGTTGTCAATTCTGTTTGTGGAGTTTGTCGCAAAAAAGTGGATTGGACTTGTGGGGGTTATGCGTGTCAGAAGTGTCCTGGCTATGTCGTTGCTACAAGAAAAGATGTTTGGAACGGGAAAGAACTCGAAGGAGTACCTGAAGAAATAGAAGATACAGAGCCATATGTGGTAATAGATGACAACACTATACAACATTGCAGCCACAAAGAACATTACCTAAGACTCAAGGGTAATGGTCTTCTATGGGAGGAAAACAAGGGTTGCAACGCATGCTTCCATCCAATCTCTCTCCAATCCTTCTATGGTTGTATGGATTGTGATTTCTTTCTCCACAAAAACTGGGCTGAATCTCCTAGAAGGAAATGGCATATGCTACACAATGAATGGCTTACTTTAGTTACAAGCGAATCGACTTGCTTTAGTTGTGATGCTTGTCATAGAATGTCCAATGGCTTCATGTATCAACATGGGGATAAGAAATTTGATGCCCGGTGCAGTTCAATTTCTGAGCCATTTGTTCATCCGAGTCATCCCCATCATCCCTTATATTACATTCCACGCAACAAAATCGAAATTTTCAGTGGTTGCAACGAGTGGGTAACTTATGTGCTCAGATGCATTGAAGATGGTTGTGAATTTGTCTTGGGATTCAAATGTGCCACTCTACCACAAGTGGTAAAGCATAGAGTTGACGATCATCCTCTCTCACTATGCTATGGCGAAGAAGGGTAAATACTGGTGTGACATTTGTGAGAAAGAAACCGATCCAAGGAAGTGGTTCTACACGTGTAAAGATCACCGGGCTAGTTTGCATACAAAGTGTGTGTTGGAGACTTTTCAAGGCTTATGCCAAGAAGCACAGTAACGGTTTCGTACAAAAGGTATGAGGTGGTGCTCAATAATAGTTCATCTCGCCCATTTTGCTGGTGGTGTAAGTCTCATTGCATTTACCCTATCATCTTGAAGGTGCCTGGAACCATTATTTATACTTACTTCTTTTGCTCTCTAATGTGCATAGCCTCTTACGACGAAAAGATTCTTTACTACGAGGATAGCTCAGATGGCTAGATTAGTTTAGATTTCTTTTGTTGTTTCTTCTTTTACACGTTCATTTCTTGATTTCGTTCATGTAAAATATCTTATCTGCCTTTTTAACGTTTTCAGCCTTTATTTTCTACAAAATCTTGGTTTAAAAACGAACAACACTATCAATCCTGTCTGTCTGTTTCAAATTCCCAGACCTAAACACAGTGATTACTAATTAACTAGTCTTCTTCCATTGGACATGTCAAACAAGTCTTCTTTGATCAGCTTTGTTGATTCAAACATTCTCTTCTCTGGTTGAATCAACTTCAAATTAAATTAAACCATCCCAATTCGGACAAATTTTTTGAAGGCCAAGCCCAATGGGCTGCCCAAAAAAAAAAATCATAACGCAAACGCTAAATTCGTAAACGCTATAGCTTCCGGGCCAGATTTTTGTTCCGCTTCGATTTTGGCGGCAAACACACAGACCTAGGGA